AAGACATGATTGTCTCTTTATTTATAAGAATAGTATAGATTGTTGATTTCGCCAGATGAAACTGAATAGGAAGAGACAATATCATCAACAATTGCTTTTCTTTTAACTTTTTCCTTTACCAGTATCACTGCTAGATTTCTTTGGATCTATGTCTAACCAGGGCTAATAAAGAGAAGGGAAAAAAAGGCACGGTTCAATAAAATTGGAAAAGAAAAGCACAACAAAACACAACACACGAATGTATACAATATGGCGGTCGACTCAGAAAGGATTACGTTCGGGTTAACTCGGTTCGAGAACCGAAATTTTATTCGGAGCATTTTCATCTCGAATTTTCTGTTCGAAAACCGATTTGTTCGACATCTGAGACTTTCGACTTTTTGAGGTTGCTCTCTATATAGTTCTGTATTTTCGATCTGTTTTCTTTTTAAACGGTTAAGTTATTTACCACGTTCTTAAAGGGTCCTTTTATTAGTCAATTATAAAAATTTACATAAGAAGCTGAATGAGCATCTAACTGGTTAGCATTGTGTTAAGTTACCTCCCTACTCTTTTTAGCTTTTACTTATTTGGAAAGTTGAACGTCAGATTTCGATACCTCTTACGAAATAATGGCACCGCAATCAATGGATAGAGAAAGACCGAGATCCGCTCGTACACTTGACCACAAAGACACATTCTACAGGCTGTCCGAGCCGATAAAGGTATCAGCAGACGTCAAGTGGCTCTAGCATGTCGTATACCTCATAGTACCACATGTAGGGTACTTCAAGAGAATCTCCTGTATCAGTATCATTTGCAACTTGTACAGGGTCTTTCGCCCACTCACTCACCACTGGAGAAATTTTGTCGATGGTTTATTGCACAAACTGCCGATCCATTACTTGTCTCTTCAATCTTGTTTACGGATGAGGCATCATATGGAAAAGATGAAGTAACGAATTTACACAACCAACATCTGAACGGATCGGAATCTCCATGGTGCAAAACAAGCTAAACATCAGCATCAATTTACGATTAATGTGTGGGCTGGAATTGTATGTGACTGTCTAGTAGGTCCATGTGTCCTCTCGGCACATCTTATATGAGATGTCTACAGGAACTTTAGCTGGAAAAGATTCCAGCTGTGGTGGTCGAACTCTCTGCCTTCGGGCAGAGAGGAACCGGGACGAGGCTAAGCCGAAGAGCAGAGTCTCCTCCTGGATGGAAGACAGACCCGATCCCGTTTATGCGGGGTCTACGGGGATTTTTTGGCCGAGCCTACGGACTCGGGAACCCCACATTAAATTGTGCCACATGCGACTGCGTGGGGCAGTTGCTAGATAGCGTCCACAGGGACATGCTAGAAGGTGTACCCCTATTAATACGAAGGCGCATGTGGGTCCTGCATATTGGGGGTCCAGCATATTTTAGTCACACTGTTCACGATGCACTGGCTGACATCTACCATGAAATATGGACAGGCAGGGGACGACCGATTTAATGACCTGCACGTTCCCCCTATCTCAATCCCTTGGATTTTTATCTCTGGGGTCACCTAAAACAATTGGTTTATGCAGAGACGATTCATCAAAGTGCCTTGCGAAAACGTTCGACCCCGTTTGGGACGATTTGAAAGTGTTTGCCAGTCAATGATCCGACGGGTGCATGCGTGTGTGGGGGACATATTGAAAATTTGTTATGAGTTGCTTTCTTGAGAAAGAATGAAAAGAATTTTATTTTGATCTAAAACTTATATGTACGTTTGTCGAGCATTAATCTTGCTAGAAAAGGGGAAATATTAAAGAAGTCTCGTATTCACCGTGTGTGAGATAGATGTTATGCCTGTCTCATATAACTTTTAGATTAGAATAAAATTCTTTTCATTTTTCATTCAAAATACTCTATTTTAGGAATACGTTTTCACAACATCGCCCACGTGACGCCCACGTGATCATATTGAAACGGAACGCTGATCTTGAAAAATGTCAGTTGTCTGTTTTGATTAGTCTTACTCTTATGTCCATCGTCTTTTCATGTTGAATTGAATATAGTCTAATGTTAATTATGTTTTATGAATATGTCCTGAAGATGGTCTACTAGACCGAAACGTCCGACGTTGATATTATATTAACATTAAAACAGCATAATTGCATATTAGGATTTTTTGCTTGTTTTTTTTCTGTATATTTTTCTTCATATATATATATATATATATATATATATATATATATATATATATATATATATATATATATATATTTACGATTCCAATGGAATAAATTATGACCATGGAATATTAGTGTTTAAACCTTTTTATTATATCCTTACTCTGTCCTGGACATTGAGTTTTTACCTGGATTCTATCCTCTTGGAATTTTTTATGCAAAATATATATGTATGTGTATGCATGTATTTATATATATATTTATATATTTTGCATATGTATGTATATATTTACCACTAATATTATCTCTCCCCCCCTCTCTCTCTCTCTCTCTCTCTCTCTCTCTCTATATATATATATATATATATATATATATATATATAAACGAGAAGAAAGGGCTAAAGAATAATTGCATGGTCGTTATCAAAAGAAGTCCAAGATGCGAGATCCGAAACAAAAATGTCCGGAAATTTCCCTATGTGGGAAGGGTTTTAACAGATCACAGACAATGCAACGTAAAAACCTGAGATCACATTAAGGTAGCAAAAGATCTCTTTCCAAAGTTAAGCAAAGTATTAATAGACAGGAAAACTTCGTTAGAACGAGGGAAAAGAGTGCCAAACTGTTATACAATATAAGTTCTCCTATACGACAGTGAATGATGGTCAATTTCCTCCCAGATGAAGAAGAGACTTGAAGCAATAGAGATGTGGTTTTACAGAAGGATTTAGAGGACACTAAGGACAGATTATTTTAGGAAAATGGGAAACAAAAAGAACTCCTGTACTTAGAATAAGAAAAACACAATTGGCATTTCTTGGATCCTTTACGAGGAAAGAAGAATTGGCGAATTTGATACTCATATTGAAGATAACAAGGTAAAATCGTTTAGCTTGTGCAAATGGATGGCAGAACATGGTGCAAGAATAGTGAGGAGATAAACATTGCTTAGAGTTAAAAAAAAAAAGATAGGAAGTTGAGGAGAGCCATGATCACCCCCGTCTAGTGGGGGATACAACGCATGAAAGATTAACGATATGCCTAAGAACATTCTCAGATCTGTGCTGCATTGAGGGCACTGATCACATGAGAGCTATCATGTCCCTCCACCTCTCACAGTCTTGAGAGAACGCCGGGAACATTCTCCAGTGCCAGATTTACCTGCTGGAGGTTCTGGCGGCTGAGTGGTCAGCCGCGAGGTCATCGCCAGTTTACAGATGGTATATCGAATTGGTAGGATGGCCATCAGCTCGCCTCAGGATGTGACCGTGCCATCGAACATGGTGCTGAGCGATGGTATCAAGGATGATCAGCTGGTCGGTCCTCCAGTGGAGCTCCTCTTTGAATACAAGATCGAACCAGTTAGATGATCCTCAGGATGCAGGACTCGAAACCAGGAGGCGATGATTTTGCTGAGAGACCACATCTCGGTGGCGTATAGTAGCACAGAGAAGACTTAGAGCTTGGTGCATCGTGAAATGTCGCGACGTCGCCATAGTATTGTCAGATCCCAAGTAGAATTATATATGCAGACGATACCACGGTTTGTGGAAGCACCATTTCAAAATTTAGACGACCGACCCTTGCAGCTCCTCTGACCTTGCTTGCACAGCTCAGTGGGTGAGGGACTGGATTTTAATATTCAATACCCCCAAAAACCAATAAAGTTACATCATCACAGAGCAGTTTCTGTGTTTACTCCATAATGAATAGTTGTATTCTCAGATGCTCCTGAAACGTCTGTTGGGGCCCCAGTTCACCCCAGATATATGTGGGATTCGTATATATGTTCTATCCCTAAAGACGCTGGGAAATGACTGACTCTATGCACTGCTTTAGAAAGTACCTGCCTCTTCCCGGGGTTCTTTGTTTCTGCAAGTGTCAGATCTGACCAAAAATAAAGAATTGCCGCCACGGCGCTACCCAATCTTCAGACATGACAGAGTTCAAAAGCGCCCTCGCAGCCTTGTAGGTGATGAATTGTTTTCCACCCTACAGCCACTTTCTTCATAGACCAAATGTTGATAGTCTGTCGCTACTCTTTTCATGGCAGAAGTTCGGGAGAACTACATTCCTTGATTCCACTAGCTCAAACCTTCACAGTCCAAACGCGCCACGTCACGCCACGCTACGCCACGCCACGCCCACATTCTCCTCATCCTCATCTCCTTCATATTCCACCGGTAAAGAGTAAGTTTCACTCAGTATTTTCCCCAGAAGCAATATGGAATAGACTCCAGAGGGGGTCCTTTCATGATCAGTACAATCTTAATGTCTTCCAGTCGAATATCAACTGTTATCTATTCTACATATCCCCATAATATGTAACTCTTAACCTTTTCTTATGTGTCATTACGATATCCCAATTCACTAACTTTGAGTGGCTCTTGGGTCTTGTATTGGGCGAACAATAGTAAATCCCAAATACAAGTCACAGAAGAGGAAACATGTCGACGTTTTTTAAGCCAGTGTGTGATTATTATGCCTACTGGGTAGACGAAAGACGAGCTAATTTCGTGAACTCTGACAGGTGATGTACAAGACTTGTTCTGTCCATCGTTGGCGAATAATCACAAGGGGCGCTACTCGTCTTGTAAAAGTATTTGCGCGGAACGCTATATTTGACTCTCTCTCTCTCTCTCTCTTTCTCTCTCTTTCTCTGTCTCTCAATATATATATATATATATATATATATATATATATATATACACACATCAACCTCTCTCTCTCTCTCTCTCTCTTTCTTTCTTTCTTTCTTTCTCCCTCCGGTAACAAGTGAACACGGTATCTGCCTTCGGCTGTTCTCGCCATTCTCCGTCGGTGAACAACGTTCGTCTCTTGTAATCGTTGTTACCGCCTGATTTGGTATCCGTTTGGTCGTTTTGGTAGTATGGACGAAAGGATGATCAAAGTGACAAGCAGGAAGACATCGCAGTGAATGGTGCTTCTTTCTTTCTTGCCTGATCAGTGCTTTCCTACACGCTAGGGAGCCGTTCTTGCATCGCCGCAGGCTGTTTGCCTGTTTCGATGCGGGTAACACAGTATAAAGTAAGTGAACGAGACTAAATGAAGGGTAAAAAAAAGAGTGCAAAAAAAGTTTTAAAAAAGTGTAGCAGTGATGGAAAGTGGGGTCTGGAAATAAATGAGAATTGGATAAATAAAAGGAAGTTTTTTTTTTTAGGAAGATAAGAATAAAAAAAAGTGGCTAAGTGCTAAAAATAATATTAAAACGTAGAAAGAGTAACAAATCTAATGAACAAGGACAGAAACTAATTTATTGTAAAAAGCAAAAAAATGTCGGGGAGAAAAAAAGAATAAATTTAATTGCCGAAGGCAGAAAAATCGTTAGGAAAAATGTAAAATGAAAAGAAAAGAAAAGAAAAACGAAGCTGAAAAGAATTTGCATAAAAGGAGAGAAAGATGAAAATCAAAAAGAGGCTGGAGGTTAATTAAAAAAGAAAGAGAAAAAGTGACGAGAAAAAGGAGAGGGAAAAATAGAGAAACAAGAAAAATAACTGAATAAAAGGAAAAATGGAATGAAATTAAATTGAAAGAAAGACGGAGATAAAATGGTAATAGGTTCTTCAAATTTTTGAGAAAGAAAGAAAGAAAGAAAGAAAGAAAGAAAGAAAGAAAGAAAGAAAGAAAGAAAGAAAGAGAAAAAGAACGGCTGGATGAGTGCAAATAAATATAAGTAAATAGCTGAGAAAAAGAAAAACAACGAAAAGTATAATTTAATTAAATGGTGAAGAAAGAAAGAAAGAAAGAAAGAAAGAAAGAAAGAAAGAAAGAAAGAAAGAAAGAAAGAAGTGGAAATGAAAAAAGCAAGCTAAACCCAAACAAAAAGAATGAATGGAAGAAAGAAACGGAAAAGGGAAGCTATACCCACACAGAAAGAAAGAAAGAAAGAAAGAAAGAAAGAAAGAAAGAAAGAAAGAAAGAAAGAAAGAAAGAAAAGGAACAGAGGAGGCTAGACCCTAAAGAAAGAAAGAAAGAAAGAAAGAAAGAAAGAAAGAAAGAAAGAAAGAAAGAAAAGAAAGAAAGAAAGAAAGAAAGAAGTGGAAATGAAAAAAACAAGCTAAACCCAAACAAGAAGAATGAATGGAAGAAAGAAACGGAAAAGGGAAGCTATACCCAAACAGAAAGAAAGAAAGAAAGAAAGAAAGAAAGAAACAGGAGAATAATTTAAATAAAGGAAAAAGAAAGCGTACAAATAACAGTAATTTAATTAAATAGTTGATCAAAAAAGAAAGAAAATATAAAAAAAGATTTTAATTAAATGGTTGAGAAAGAAAAAGAATTAATGAAAGAAAAAGAAAGAAATTCAATAAAAAGAAAAAAATGAGGAATAAATTAAAGAAATTGGGTGGAAGATCGATTGTCAGGTGAAAAAAAAAATCGAAGGTTTATTAAAGAAAGAAAGGTGGATGGTAGGGAAGAGAAAGAGAGAGAGAGAGAGAGATTGCAATGATAGGCGTGAAAAGTCTATCAGGGCTGTTTGAAATAAGTAGAAATGAAGCAAATAAAATAAAATGGTGGGACAAGAAATTTAAACAAGAAATTTCAAAATTAATATGAAAAGTGAATGAGAAAGAAGGTGACGAAGAAAAAAAAAACCTCGAAGCTTGAAGAATGTGTTAATGAATGAAAGGCGTAACTGAAAGAACAATATGGAATGAAGAATAGTTTCCTTTACGGATAGAAACGAAAGAACGACTTCGAAAAAGGAGGCAGTGTTTAGATATAAAAAGGATTGAACAAAGTAAAAAGAGGAGTGGAAATATTCAATAAAAATTGAATGAACTTAATTTTATCATTATTTCAATTGTAAAGATAATAAAACGGTGTCTTGCTAGGAAGGGTGCCATTTTTTATTATCCATTTTTTTTTAACGATTTTTAACACCTAAGAGCGGAAGGCTTGGCTCGGCCTTTTTAGAAATATATGACGAAACAACACTGTGGGTATAATAGAAAAGGTGTAAAGGAGCGTCCCTGAGAAATAGGTCAATAGTTAAAGCAGTGTTTCTCAACCTTTTTTCTTTTTTTAATTTTCACTTCAGGGCGCAACTTGTGGAATAACTAAATCACTGGGAAGCACGTTAAATTTTATCGAGGAAAAATTAGTCACGAAATTTGAAAATAGGAAAATAATAAAGTCTCCTGAAATAAAAATTTAGGTTTTAGACATTACATTGTATATTTTTCAAATATCTTCCTTCCTGAAAGAATTACTCTTTTCCTAAGCCAACATAGATGACTATAAAAATGTTAAAACAATAAAAAGAAAACGGTTAAATTTATAACCTTCTTTTATTTAAAATATGTAATACATAAATTAATCCCAAGCAAAAATAATACAAATATTAATTAATTGTTAAAATACTTACATTATTTACATTATTCGGACTGTTATCCTCATCTTCACTGACATAATCACTGCGTTTCGGCTGTTGTGCGCAAAGGCCTTCTTGTGCAGGATTCCATCCCCGGAATCCACAACAGAATGAATCCTCCAGGTCTTAAGACAACCGTTAATCAGATCTTATAGACAGGCGCTACAGAATCACAATGACCTAAAACAAATAAGAAAAACCACATCATTTGAAGACTTTCAATTCAATAACTTGAAGAGAAAATAATGATATGAAGATGTTGACTTCCACACAACTTTAAGCAAATAGTTAGGAAGGAAACTCATATCAACGCTTAAAAGAGTAATAACAGTCTATTCTCCTGAAATTAAATCGTTTATATTACCTTTTCTAACCAAAATAACTAACGACCTTGAACGAGCTTTCCTTTTCAAAATCATTAATATCTTTCTCAAATGTTTTAATTTTGTCGATAGAGGAGAGAAGATTTTCATTTCCATTTTGCATAGAAACATTCAGACAATTCACGTGATAAAATATATCAGTTACGTATTCCAACTTTGAAATCCCAAATCAAAGATATGAAACCTACGTGATTGGTGTCTCTTTCTATGCTGCCTCTTCTTTTATGAGCCCTACTCTTTCTGGACGCAGGCGATCATAGCTCTCTACAATTTCCTAACCTTTGTGGCTCTTAATATTTTTTTTCGTTTTGTCATCTTTCCTAAACCTTGCTCCGCCATCCATAAAATACACAAGGACCTTTAGTCAGGTTATGCGTTATTTTCCTCTGTCCCTCTTGCCTTCAATCTGTCCTGTGAGTATCAGATTTGCCAAGCCCTCATTCCTCTATGTACCCTAGATATTTCAACTGTCACTTTCTGATGTTAAGTATAAGCGTCCTTTTTGTTTCCTTTTTCTCTCAAACTATGTCATTGCTCACGTGTTCAGTTCATGGTATTCTCAGCATCCTTCTGTAGAGCCATACTTCTGTTTCTTTAAGTCTCTTTATCTGTGAGAAGATTGTCCAGCATTCCCTGCTTTATAGAAGGACCGATATTACATAAAAGTTTTTTTTTCTAGCGAGATTCTCAGCATCCTTCAGTAGAAGCACATTTCTGTTGCTGCGAGGAAAATGTCCAGTATTCACTACCATATAGGAGAAATGATATTACATAAGATGTTTTGGATATAATAATATTTTATAAATTATTCTTCTGTTAATCTGGAGCGGATCTGGCTACCATTCAAGGTGCATTAGTTTTCCCGGTCGCACCGGCTAAGAATCTCGATCAGTGTTGAATTTCTTTGGTTAGTGTGTCCGGCACGAGAGGGCAATCAGAAAAAAAAATGGAAGCATCACTGACAACTTTTTAAAAAATGGTAGAAAACGATAAAAAAAAAATCTTTATTCGATTAGAGGAATATCTTCATCTTTGTTGCTATTCGTTTCGGTCGTCGATCCAGATAAGCCTCAGGCTATCTTGGACTGAACCCTTTATTAAATCAATTGTGGGATATTGATCTCTTTCTGCTGTCCGTGTCTAGGGATATCTCGTCTTGTTTTTTATTTAGTAGTAATCAGAAATATGGATGGATTAAACATGTGAGCAACGACGAAGTTTTTAGAGAAAATGGAAACAAAAAGGAAATTTATACTTTAACATCGGGAAGAGACAGTTGAAATGTCTACAGAAGGATGCTGAGGATACCATGTGAGCAACGACGAAGTTTTAGAGAAAATGGAATAAAAAATCATACCTTTACATAATACCAGAAAGAGACAGATGAAATTTCTAGGGCACATAATTAGGAAAGAGGACTTGGAAAATTTGACACTCACAAGGCAGACTGGAGGCAAGAGGGAGAGAGGAAAAACAACTCATAGACGAAAATTGTCAGTTATTTGCTCATCCTGTTTCCACTGAGTCTAAATCTGCCCTATCAGGCAGAGGAATTAATCTCATGAGATTACCCAGACGACAAAAAACGATGGTATATTTTGAAAAGAAAAACTTATTACTTGAATGTTTTCACGTGTGAGGCTTCAATTTTTTCCAATTATTTTATGAATATACATAAAGATTCAGTTTATTGCTTAATAACAATAGAAAATACATCCCAACTTTTAGCCAGTAGAATATTATATTAATACTTGTCTATTCATGTCATGAAAAATGACAATATATTTTGTTATGTCTTTACTATTTTTAAGAGGCGTTCACATAGGAATCTTTCGTCCTGGGTAAGACAATAAACTACATCCAACAGCATGGCCTCTGTTTAGGTTTTGAGGAACGTGGGATCACTTCTTAATTGCTGGTATTCCCAGATCAACCCTGACCCGGAGTGGTAGCACCTATTAGGGTCCTAGATATGGGCAAATAGTTAACCCACAAACTAGGGTCAAGGCACTGTGAATGTGTAAAAATAGCAATGAAATTTTTGAAGGAAAAAATATTACAAGCAATATATTTTTGAAAGAAAAAAAAACTTTATCAGCAATACATTTTTGAAGGAAAATTATTACGAACAATACATTTTTTCATATAATTATTACCAGCAATATATTTTTGAAGAAAAAAAAATTCTTGTCGGTACTAAATAAACATGGTAATCTTGAACTACATTTTTTCAATTATTATAGTAATACGTAGCTATTCAGTTGGGGGTTCAGTTTAATTATATATTACAATAGAAAACCGATCCCCCACTTCGTGTCCAGTAGTTTCTTAAATTACAATTTCTTTATACTTACAGTTTTACGACCGCATCGCGTTGAAACACCGGTTCTCGTTCGGTGACCAAAGTCAAGCAACACTGAGCCTGGTCAGTACCTAGATGGGTGACCGCTTGAGAATATCAGCTTTGGTGTGCGGCCGGTGTAATGAACAATAGCTCGGAATGGAAAATAGCTGAGTTCCAATTCCAGTTACATTCACTTACACGCAAACACCCTTGGCAACGGTAGGAATACACTTCCATCTCCCAGCTATGGGTTAAATATTAGGGCCTGTATCAGTAAATCATGATTATCTCCAAAAGAATTCTTACAATCTGAAAATAAGTTCTGCCTTTAAATAACCTGCAAAGGGTTGATAAACCGTAAAAACAAATCAATCAATTTGCAGCAATAAATGATGACATATTGTGTTGAACATTTACTAATGTTTTCACGTGTGAACCTTTAAATTTTCCGTTTTCAAATAATTATTTTAATATATATTAATCTTTGTGGGGGAGCACTTCGACGTGTTGTGATGATTAGCAAGCTTGTTTCGCCATATCAATTACTACCGGGTAGTGACTTTGATCCTCACTAGGTGCTCATGCATTCGGCCTTGTGCCACACTTAAGCTTCGCTTAGTAAATCCCTATATTAGTGTCGAGGGGTCATTTTATTACAGAAAACCATTCCCTCAATTATGTCCCAAACAATGGCATATTCATACGAGTTTCTCTCTGAATTTCTAGGATGGGAAAGTATTATTCAAATTCGCTCACCTCTGTTGCCAGTTTCGGCTGCATAGCCTCCGGCCTTCTACAGGTTTCTGTCGATCCAGCTAACCACCGGAGTATGTATCTATAAGAGTAGTTTTATTTTTCTTGTTCCGTTTTCTATTTCTATGGATAGCTCGTCTACAAAAAAATACTGCTCAGTTATTGCTAATCCTACCTCCACTGTAACTGTATACTACCTGAGCCAGGGATTGAACTCATAATTACTATGTCACAAAATTCATGACCTAACACGTTAATCCTCCTGTCTGTTAGTCTTAAGTTGTGTAGTACAGATTCAGACTCTGGAATAGCAATCACTGAGCAGTACTAAAATCTTACTTATTATAAAACGCAGATTGTGTGTGTGTGTGCGTGTGTGTGTGTGTGTACGTTTATATATTGGATCGGATTTTTTACATTTTCCAACCGATTTCAACAAAACTCCACAGGACTACGTAAAATTACCTTGCGGTGGTTCTGATAGCGCCAAAAATTGGAAAAACACAATTGTTTTTGCACAAAATCAATTTGAAAACACGATTAGGAGGCATCACTGTCGCCAGAATGAAAGGAGAACAACTCATATCGAGTTATACTTATTATAAAACCCAGGTTGTGTGTGTGTGTGTGTGTGTCCGTTTATATATGGGATCGGATTTCCTACATTTTCTAACCGATTTAAACAAAACTTCACTCTTTTTTTGGCAGGTAGTGTTTCTTATTGTCTTGCACACTTTTTTCTCTATTTTTACATTCAGAATGCTTTAAAAATTCCATTTACAAGACAATTGTTTATAATAAAATTCTATTCAATCGATAGACTCATAACGATTGAAAACAATGTTTTTGTTTGAGTTTGGGTTTGACCAATTCGTAAAAAGAAACAAAAAAAAAAAAAAACGATAACTAATAAAGATATGCGTGTCCGTCAAGCTTAAATAATAATCTTTGTCAATTTTATTTTTCAGTCTTTATGATGGTCGATACTTGATCTATCTCTTACTGTTACATCCCCGGGCAACGCCGGGCTCTACTGCTAGAAAAGAATAAAATGAGTTATCAGCAATCATGGACAGCGGAATAGCAATTAGCTAATGCCGTAGATTAAATGAAGGTTTCGGGTAGAGATTCTCTGATGTTTATACGGATGGAGGGCTACCCGAAGAGGGTCAAAGAACACAGACGCTGAAACGTTGTGATAATGACAACAAAGATGACATAATTCCGAATATAAATAATATAGATAATGATCAAATATTAACTGATAATATATACAATGATAACATTTCATCCCAGAAATTCAGACAGCGGGCAATCAGGTGATAATAAAAACAAAGATGAGGACAATAATCCGCGTGTAAATAATGATAATCCCTTATCCCAGAAATTCAGACAGAAGGCGATTAGCTAATAATAACAACAAAGATGAGGACAATAGTTCGCATGTAAATAATGATAACCTCTCATCCCATAAATTCTGATATAAATTAGATTGAAAATATGCAGACTAGAATTATCGTAATCACTAAGGAATTAAACATTGGTTGGCTCGATGGGTAAATCCTCTTCTCGAACGGGACTAAAAAAAAATTAGCGGATATCCTATTTCCTGATCAGAAATGATTCATCATAGATAATTGAATAGAGTTATATAATCTGGTGTAAGGTTTGTGAAGATGTCAGAATTAAATTTCATGCGACGCTTTCTACGTTGGTGGATCTTGTCATTTGAGAAAGATATTATTTACTACCGCCAGCATTAATTTGAGGTTAATTCCCCTTAAGTGAAAAAGTTTTTTTTTTTTTAGCAGCAAAGAGAATAAGCCGTAGAAAAGAACGGACATCCGACATGTCACCTATCCGTCAAAAACAACAAATCGAATTCAGCAAAATATCCCATCTTGTGCTGTGAAGGTCAAAGGTCAAACGAATCAAGTTACAACGTTGTTGGGATAAAACTACTAAAAGTAAGATTTTACAAGCAAGTAGTAGATGTGTGGCTCAATTGACTATCGAATTCTAGTTTCCGTTAGTGAGCAGGAAATGATACAGATACTATGTCCAAATACACACAGCGCTCAAATGTCGTAGCAAAGGAAGTCAGGGACCTGCGGTTGCTCCTATCCACCGAATGCAGAAGTACGTAACATCACATCGATTTGCGTGGTAAAGCTTTTGCAATGAACGTGGTTATATAAACAACCGTCCTGAGCAATCTGGTGCAGTATCTCACACATCGCAAGAGGAAAATGTAAGAACCACGTATCGGACCGAGGCTCTGAGGCCGCTTCACATGCATACTGGCCGGGAGTAACTGCAAAAAATTGGGGTGAAAAAATGTTATCATTTAATCGGCACTCCTACTTCATAACACACAGTGGTGGGTTAGGCAGTTGTGTGACAGTGAATGCAACTGATTGAACTATAGTTTGAACTCCGATCGCTGACCCTATTTTCAAAACATTTCAACAGTAGAGGAGGGATCGTTTGAGCCATCTCCAAATAAGGAGATCTGGCTGAAAAATTGAAATCAGAACAGAAGGAATTCGGACAGATCATATGATTGTACCAAAGAAAAAGTTCCTGAATTATTAGATTGGAAAGAAAGTCCTGTCAGTCTTTTGCCATAGTGAGGGGATACATTTTAAATACTTATGATAAAATAACAATTCATTTTTAAATTCTAATTTATTTTCTTTCTGTTGTAACCTAGGGAAGGTTACGGAATAGAATAATCAAACGAACGTTAGGAATGAACGATAATACTTAGGACAAGAACAACACATATAAGATTCGCCAGCGGCGCGTAGAAGTAGTCAACTGCTAGGAGTCAAGTGAATTCCACAACGAATCTCCAACTGCAGGCCAACATACAGTATTTACTACTGTAGTTATGTGAATGGGGACATACCCATTATCGTCCGTAGGCACGCTACAATACTTTCTTTGAAGATTGCCTAAATGTTTTGCCTCATCCTACTTAATCTCCTGGTCTTGCTCCATCTGACTATCATCTTTTCACGTCATAGCAACGTTTTTAGAGGGGAAACTATGTTAATTGTGAAGAAGTTAACATTGTTATTGACTGTTTTGGCATCAAAGCCTGAATAAGTTCACGCACAGTGGATCATAAATTTGCCAATTCGATTAGGATTATGTTATCGACTGTAACGGAAATATTATCTCGATTAAATATATCTATTAAGATCAGTGAAGTTTCTTTGCCACCTTCAAATGAGACAAGATCTTCTTTCCGATCTAACACTTTGTGTAAACAACGATTGTCACTGCGAGGAGAGAATTTTGTATTTTCAATGAGAAAGGAGTATTAGAAACAGCAGCAGCAGCAATTATCAAGATGTTAGATGTGTAGTGAAAAAACTGTGAAACGCCTAATAAGCTTCTACATATATGAATAACAAAGGTATATGCATTGTAATATTACAGGTTACATCGATTTAGGTGTAATTAATTTTGCTACCTCTGGTAAAAAAATGTGCAATTAGCACATTTAGAGGATGCTCACTTTTTTTTTTATTTACAGATCGTTACATCTAACAGAGATGAAATTTAAATTTTTATTATTACATTAATCCAAAATTTTAACACATCAACAAATAGCTATTAATGTCAACAACTGAGCACAAATAGTTAATAATTAAAAAATAAATAGTAATTAATGTATATTATCCGTAAGTACATGTACAAGAATATCGTTTTTGATAAAGTTAAAAAAATAACCATAAATATGTAAAAAATGCTCATATTGCCGAAAATTTCTTTTTTCACAATATGGCTATTTGTTCTATGTTATAATGCTATTTACCTAAACAATAATAATACTGAATCTTTTTTTAAACATTAAAGTATATTTAATCACATCTTCCTAATAACTGTCACGATTTGTTAACAAGTTCATTGTTCACCGTTCACTGCCTTTAACCCTAACTCTTACGACTAAACCTAACCCCAACATATTTCATACTTCCAACAGTTGGTAAATACCATACCATAGTAGAAAATGAATAGTAAATATCATACTATAATAATAATAATAATAATAATAATAATAATAATTTATATTAATATAGATATGTTGCGGAACAATAGATATATTTTCTTACAGATTGCGACATCAGAGAGATGAAATTTAAATTTTCATTATTGCATTACTCAAAAATTTTAACAAATCAGAAAAAGCTATTAATGTCAACAACTGAGCATAAATAGCTATTAATTAAAAAAAATTAGTAATTAGTGTATAATATTATCCATAACTACATGTGCAAGAATGTCGTTTTTGATTAAAGTTAAAAATACGTAAAAAAATGCGTATATTTTTTTCACAATATAGCTATTTGTGTTATGTGATAATGCTTATTACCTAAACAATAATAATACTGAATAAATTGTTTTTTAAATATTAAAGTATATTTAATCACATCTCCCTAATATCTGTCGCAATCTCTTAACAGTATTTAAACAATCACAGATTCCACTCGCGTTGGGTCAAATAGCAGGTCAAACCTTAATGGGCAACAACTCCAGGAAGCGAAAACTTTGATTTCCTAAACGTGGAAAAGACAACGGGAAACTTTTCTACTATCTTTTTTTATTCAATAATGCATGGGAATTCACAGATAGTAAAAAGGAATCTGTGGAAGGCCGTGATTCGGACATGTTGTTACAAAATTAAATCGAAGTGAATTTCGGTTAAGCCTTTTGGTTAGTTTCTCCTGGTGTCGAATAAATCGTTTTATATTAGGTGGAAAAGTCTGAAGAGCAATGGGTTTCGTCAGGATATCTTCTCCTAGCAATAGATAGAAAGGTGACAAGCTGTCATGATCAAGAAGAGAAGTCGAAACACAAAGAGTGCGCGTCTCTTATTAATTATTTTAACAGGTGTTACGAATTTGCAACGAATAAAAGGTATAAATTGTAGGTTCAAAAATGAAAAAAAAAGGTATGAACACACACTAACAGGTACCAACGAATAACAAACACAAAATTAACTTTTGTAAATTAATTTTATATAACAAAATACAAAATATGGAAAAAGTATGGAGTGACAGATGTTCAATTAATAAAAGAACACTTAATTGATATTGGATGTCAGTTCAAACGTTTGTGTTTCAAAACTTTGGAGTTCGAAAATTCGTAGCGACAAATTTGCTGCAGAATGTTCAAAAAAGTTGGTAGTTCTTCCTTCTGCAATATGAAATATAATATTCCGGAATAATGTTTGTGTTCCGTTTCATCTTGGTTAAGGGGATTGCATCCAAGATGAAAATACGATGATTCCTTTGTATCTACTTAGATACTACATTTCTTTATTCCTTACCCATTAAATAGTCATATAGACCCAAGATCTCCGTGACGAAATTTCCTTATTCACGACACAACAAGTAATAGAATAGACTTGTGGGTGTATTTCTCATCCCTTAAATATTTTTCTCGCGAACTGTTGTTGTCGAAGGTCACTGGGAAACTAAAATTACAATGCCATAATCTCACTTGGTGATGTATGCCACGTGAGCGTAGCTAACTGATTCTTAGAAGGTCATTTTGTTTGTTGTCGTGACCCTAAATTACTTTCTTGACCTTTATTCGCCGAAAAAAGATTCAGTCTAGATAGGTAGTAACCCCACTCCCAACCCCCCAAAAAGGGGATGAGAAGTAGAAACACAAAGACAGAGCGTTTCTTATTAGATTGACCATACGTCTGATTCAACAGTTAACATTGAGGGTCATGTCACACAGGGGGTGGAAAATGCAATACCGAAATCCGAAGATGCATTGGATTAGTGAAATATTACTTTCCAAAGTTAAGCAAAAGTATTAAGAAACAGGAAAACCTTGTTAAAAACAAAAACAGATATACAAAAAATAGTATACAAACGCATATAAATGTTTGATATTAGAAGGATCCTAGTCATATAAAGATTAAGGTAAAAAAAGTCATACAACTAAACTATTTCGGACTCGTCATATATCTTTTCTTTTCATGTCATATTTTCTGAGGTTCCTTTAAAAGTAGTGTCGACAACTCCATCAACTGTGCACGGACTCAAAACTATTCCTTTAATATAAAACAATAGCATTCATTTTTTAATCGTTTCAACGCAAACAATCCGATAATGCCACTAGGGTGCGTAGAGGTGTACAGCGAAAGAGAATGAGAAAAATTTAGTGAGGTGAAGTTAGTGAGCTTGTTTAAATGGATGGCAAAACAGGAAGTGGGAAGGACAGTAAGGAGAGAAGTATTACGTTTAGCAACGAACGATAGGAAGTTGTGGAGGGCCATGATCACCTACCTAAGCAGCTTGTATAAATGGATGGCAAAACAGGAACTGGAAAGGATTGTAAGGAGACAAATTTTACTTTGGGCTACGAACGATAGGAAGTTGTGGAGAGCCATGATCACCAACATAACCAGCTTGTTTAAATGGGTGGCAAACAGGAACTGGGAAGGATAGTTAGGAAAGAAATATTGCTTTGGTACAGGGACGATAGGAAGTTGTGGAGAGCCATGAACACCAACTTACCAGCTTGCTTAAAAAAGATGGCAAAACACGAACTGGAAAGTATAGTAAAGAGAAAAATATTACTTTTCGGCTATGAAAAGGATAGTAATGAGACAAAATTGCGTAGAGCTACGAACAATAGGAAGTTGTGGAGAGTCATGATCACCTAACTTAACGAGCTTGTGTATTTAGATGACAGACAGGAACTTAGAGCTATATGTAAACGGATGGCAAAACAGCAACTGAGGTGGATAGTAAAGAGAGAAATATTAGCGAAAGGTATGAAGAATAGGAAGTTGTGGCGAGCCATAATCACTTGCATAAAGAAGAAGAAGAAGAAGAAGAAGAAGAAGAAATTAAAGCAAGCGTTCCTGACAAAATAGGACTTTTCTGATCGGTGTTGGTATGCTAAAACTCATAGTCCCATACTGACGAAAGCAGATCTATTATTATAAAACCGGAAAAAAACTGCTTATGATACTGTACCCAGCCTAGCAATCCTTAGATTAATTCATGTAACTTATTGTTTGTGGTGTGGATTTTAAGAAATCGTGAAATGGCACTGGCTTCGTTTCGCCATTTTTCAGTCTTCGTTTTCCAATTTTCTCATTGGAGTCTACTGGTTAGAAGTTTGTCGTTGTGGCGATGACGTCAGCATCAAGGGAACTATAGATAGGAGAACGTCAAAGCGCACGTGAAAATCAGAGATGGCGTAGATATGTCAGGCCATGAATGAAGCATCAAATCCGACGTATAAGCTCATAAGTCCTTCGTGATTTGGTGAAAAGCAAGCCGGTATCGCCTGACGTTGTCGTGTTATCGTTGGTCGATGTAGAGCACAATGGAATCAGGGGGGGTGGAGATAAGGATACGAACACGCTGCTTTGCAATTTCTATTCTTTACCACCAACCCGTCCCCTAGTCTCTGGGTGCTGAAGGTTGTCTCAGACCAACCATTTCCTTTTTATCTTAGTCTCTGACCCTCCCTCTTTCGCGCCATCTTTGTCTTTCCCTCTTTTCTACTACCTACCTATCGATCTCTTTTTCTTTGTAATCAGTCTATCTTTATTTCTGTCCTCCTCTTCTATCTTTCTTTTCTTCTCTTCTTTTTTCCATTCACTCTTTCTCCTCCACCCTTTCTGTCTCTGAGTCTTCTTTTCTGTTTTTGTCTCTTGTGGATTTCACTCGATTCGTCTCTTCAAATATCTAATTTGCCAATATTTGCATAGCCGTGCACAATACTCTGTGCTGTTTTCAGTGCCTGGTATCCGTAAGCAGTCAAATAATGAACTAGATAGATAGATAGATAGATAGATAGATAGATAGATAGATAGATAATGAATAAACTGATAAAGAGATCTAAAAAGACTGAGATAGATAATGAACAGACTCAGATATATATACATATATATATATATATATATATATATATATATATATATATAGATAGATAGATAGATATAGATAATGAATAAGCATAGATAGATAGATAGATAGATAGATAGATAGATAGATAGATAGATAGATAGATAGATAGATATAATAAACTGATAAAGAGATCTAAATAGACTGAGATAGATAATGAACAGACTCAGATATATATATATATATATATATATATATATATAGATAGATAGATAGATAGATAGAATAGATAATGAATAAGCATAGATAGATAGATAGATAGATAGATAGATAGATACACTCTTACAACAAACTAATTCAGTCAGGCTCTAACGGTTTTCAACAGCAAGTTCGAACTCCACTTAATAGGGATGTTTGCAGCATTCAAATTGTATTTGAGTTTATCTTTGACGTATATAACAGTCCACAAACAAATACACCCTTTCAACATTTGTTTTACTAATGTTAACCCTGTAGATGACCCAAGGGCAACACAAGTTTGAGGATTACTGAAAGGAGATTGTTGTGTAAGCGGTAAGAATAAAGGGCACAGTTTATACAAATATATGGGGAAGATAACAATTAAATATAACCTCTTCAAGATTGTAGTAGTCAGGTTGTTCCGCAAAGAAACAATTTCTGGAAAGAAGTTATCCGAATGGAATTTAGGAATACAAAGTTAATGAGCGTGGTTTGATTCGTGGTTTGTCTTAGCTGGCAGTGTCAGAGTTGAGGGCACTAAGGAATATAGTTTGTCCCAAAATTTTCTATGGAAAGAATAACGGGAGACTTGCAACGTTTCGTCTGTGGGAAAATGGTTGTCAGGCAAAAACCAGTTCATCGCACACAACGAAAAACACAAGATTCGCCAGATGGCGTGTAGAAGAGGTAGATAACTGCTAAAACTTAAAAGTGAGTCAAGTGAATTCCACAATGAATCTCCAACTAAATAAAAATTACCAGAAATAGATTTTCATCGTAAAAAAATAAAAATTACCAGCAACAGATTTCCATATTTAAAAAATAAAAATTACCAGCAACAGATTTTCATATAAAAAAAAATAAAAATTACCAGCAACAGATTTTCATTTAAAAAAAAATAAAAATTACCAGCAATAGATTTTCATTGTAAAAAAAAAAATAAAATAAAAATTGCCAGGCAAAAGATTTTCATAGTAGTAAAAAAAAGTAAAAATTACCTGTCAATAGATTTTCATCGTAAAAAAAAATGAAAATTACCATCAATAGATTTTCATATTAAAAAAATAAAAATCACCAGTAATACCAGTTTATTAGCCTTTATAGTAAAAAAAAAGCAAAAATTACCGGGCAATAGATTTTCATAGTAAAAAAAAAAAAAAATTACCGAGCAACAGATTTTCATAGTAAAAAAAAAAAAATTAAAATTACCGGGCAATAGATTTTCATAGTAAAAAAAAGCAAAACTTACCGGACAATAGATTTTTATAGTAAAAAGAAAAAAAACAAAAATTACCAGGCAATAGATTTTTATAGTAAAACAAAAAAAATAAAGATTACCCGGACAATAGATTTTTATAGTAAAAAAATAAAAATTACCAAACATTAGATTTTTATAGTAAAAAAAAAAAACATAAAAATTACCGGGCAATAGATTTTATAGTAAAAAATAAAAAGTAAAAATCACCGGGCAATAGATTTTTATAGTAAAAAAAAACATAAAAATTACCGGGCAATAGATTTTTATAGTAAAAAAAAAAATTAAAATTACCGGGCAATAGATTTTTATAGTAAAAAAAAAAAAAAATTACCGGGCAATAGATTTTTATAGTAAAAAAAAAAAAAATTACCGGGCAATAGATTTTTATAGTAAAAAAAAAAAAAATTACCGGGCAATAGATTTTTTATAGTAAAAAAAAAATAAAAATTACCGGGCAATATATTTTTATATTAAAAAAAAAAAAAAAAAAAAAATTACCAGGCGATATATTTTAGAAAAAAAAATACCAATGGTTACAAGAAAATAAAATTTCGGTATTAAATAACCCACAAGTTGATATGCCGCTAAACAGACCAAAGCAAACTATTACATGTTCCTCCTCATGAAGCATCTTTTCTCATGTATATATCTTTATAAGAGTTTTCTTTTTCTAAATTCTCATTTTCCTTCTCTCTGAATCTTCTTATCCTGAATTCCTTTTCCTAATTAAACTCTCTCTCTCTCTCTCTCTCCTTTTCCCTCACCTTCCCTCTCCTCCTCTCTCCCTCTTTCCCCCCTCTCTCTCTTTTTCTGTTTATCGTTCAAGCGTTCTTTGTAATCTCCATCTCTTATTGTGTGTATTCGAACAGAAATGATAAGCCGTATCGAATAAGTCGTCGATAGAAATGACCACGTAGGCATGAAGATAACTGAACCAGTCCACCCTCAACAGACAACCCACAACAGACAACCCCTAACCCCAGAAGCATCGAAACTGTGTCTACTGCAGACACCGACCCCTCGATAGATGAAGGTTCCTTTTCGCCAAGGTCGCCGACGCATATTGCCCTATGACGTGTTAAATAACTGATGGGTAGGAGGAGGCGGTGTTTTTTGGCCTCGGCGTCCACACTTACATCGGAATGCGTAACCAAATTATATGCTATCGCTAATGTGTATCGATCCGACCGTTTGTTTGTTGGCGTTCAATAGGGAAGGAGAAAAACTGACGGACAGAGGTGACAGGCTTCGCTTGTAATCGCTTTCTTCTCACCCACACATTTCTTGGACCACCACTGAAGTCGCACTCGATGATGCAAACTGTTATTTCTATTTTTTTCATTTTTCTTTCATTCTTTCTGTATTTATTCATTTATTTCACTTTTTCAGTCTTTGTTTCTTGCTTTTTTCTCTTTCATTTTTTTTTCTTTTCTTTTCTTTTCATCCTTTCTGATTTTCCTTATTTTTTTTTCTTTCTTCCTTTAATTTTTTCATTCTTAATTCTTGCAATTTCTCCTTTTGCTTACATTTTTGCTTTCTTTCATTTTTCTTTTTGCTTTCTTTCTTTGTTTATTCATTTCCTTTACTTTTCATTCTTTGTTTCTGGTATTCTCTCTTTCTGCTTTCCTTCTTTATTTCTTTCTTTTTAAGTTTTTTTTCCGTTTTTCTGTCATTTTTCTTTCATTGTTTATTTATTTAACATTTTTATTCTTTTTCTTGCTTTTCGTTTTTCGTTTTTTTTTTTTTTTTGTTTTTGCCTGAATTCTTGTTTCCTTTCTGACTTTTCCATCCACCGATTTTTCTTTATATTTTCTGTCTGTCATTCTTTATTTATTTATCTATCCGTTTATTCATTCTTTTTTTTTCTTGCTCTCTTTCTGATTTCATTTTTAGTTCAATTCTTTCTTTTCCATCTTTCTTCTTTGTTTCTTTCTTTTTCTGTCTTTTTTATTCATTTCTTTATTCATTTATTTCATTTTTTTTAGGCTTGGTTCTTGCTTTCTCACTTTCTGTTTTTATTTTTGCTTTCTTTTTTCATTCCTTCTGATTTTCTTTCTCTTTTCTTCCTTACTTTCTTTCTTACTAATCTTTTCCATTTCTTTTTCCCTCATGTTTTTCCCGTAAATTTTGATTCTCCATGACACGATCCTTTTCTTTCTTACTTTTAAAACGCTTTAATTTCCATCCTTCCTTCCTTCCTTCCTTCCTTCCTTCCTTTTCTTTCTTTCTTTATTTTTAAGTTCAGTTTTAACCTAATTTGTGATCATCCATTGCATTCACCTTGTCTTTCTTCCATTCTCTGCATTATTTATAATAGGAAGCAATGCCAACGCATACAAACATCTCTCTTTCTAGTGCTCACAGTCTTTCTTTCTCACTTGTATACACACACACACACACACACACATATATATATATATAGATACACACACAATGGCACAAACACAAACACACATGTATATACGTACACATATGCACACCCCGTTTTTCGCTCTCATTGACACACTTAACACAGATAGAAATATACACACAGACATTTGTTTACTTCTCTTTATAGTGCTCACAGTCTTTCTTTCTCACTCGTATACACACACACAAACACACACACACAAACACACATGTATATACGTACACATATGCACACCTCGTTTTTCGCTCTCATTGACACACTTAACGCAGATACAAATATACACACACGCAGACAATCACACACACACACATATATATATATATATATATATATATATATATATATATATATATATATATATATATATATATATTGGTGGTCGGAAAGTCTTGTCAGCCTTACCAAAAAATTAATGAGAACAATAGAGAGACAAGTAATATATTAATGCAAGGCACATGTACTGGATTCAGTATATTTACTTCCATTGACGTTTTTACGCATCAAGAAGGCCTGTTTGAACACCATCATTTTCGTGTCAGCCATCTGAAATAGAAAATTATATATATATATATATATATATATGTCCTTCCTTCTGCCTCTTCTCACTCTCAGATACACTCTGTTTCCTTTCTAGCATGTACACCTGTCGACAACTTTTTCTTCCATTTACACATATGAACATACACTTTCTCCCATTTACACATAAATGTATAAACAGCCATATACACTTATCTTTCTTTCATTCCTCTCACTCTCACTTTATCACTCTATCTGTTTCTCCCTCTTTCTCGTTGTCTATCTATCTATCTATCTATTTCATTCAGTTTCTACTTCTGTATCCTTGTATTCTTATCTATCTATCTATCTATCTATCTATCTATCTATCTATCTATCTATCTATCTATCTATTGTAGCATACCTACGGACGATAATGGCTATGTCCACATTCATATAACTACAGTAGTAAATACTGTATGTTAGTTTGCAGTTGGAGATTCATTGTGGAATTCACTTGACTCACTTCTAGCAGTTGACTCCTTCTACGCGCCGCTGGCGAATCTTATATGTGTTGTTCTTGTCCTAAGTATTATCGTTTATTACCAACCTTCGTGTGATTATTCAGTAACCTTCCCTAAGTTACATTACTCTCATTCTGTTTCCATCTCTGTATCCTATCTATCTATCTATCTATCTATCTATCTATCTATCTATCTATCTCATTCTGTTTTCACTTCTGTATCCTTGTATTCCTATCTTTCTATATATTTTCTATCTATCTACCTATCTAGCTGACATTGGTTTCTTTCCATTCCTTCTTGTCAGATTAGATAGAAAATACAAATTTTGGCCATATTCTGCCTTCTATTACCATGGCTGATGCTAACCTTCAGGAGCGTGTCTCGTTTCGCCTTCTTGGGTTAATATCCCCCTGCTAACATGAAGTGGAAATACTATATTGAATCCATTGTTAGGCCAACTGTTAAGAAATTCGTTCTAGACAATTTTTCTCTCGAGAATCTATCTTACATATTTATAAGTCTACCATTCGTCCATGCTTAGAATATTTTTGCCTTTTCTATAAATACTTTCATGGTAATTGCTCGAATGGGCTTTTCTCTATGGTACCAAGACTTTATGAATTTAAGCGCAGTAATAGATTAGCAACAAGGTCTCATTTATTTACAGTTAAGTGGGCTAGATCTAACTGTAAGTTCTATGCTAACAGTCTCATTTTTCGCACTTGTCTCTTGTGGAACTTTCCTTGATTTCCAGTTAACTAAATTAAATTTAAATGCAATGTCAATCGTTATCTATTGTCTTCCTGATCATTCTTCTAATGTTTCTGTTTTCTAATTCTTTCACACCCCTTTCGTCTTAGGGGCTTTCTGTCTTATTTGGGGTAAATCCGATTTAAAAAGAAAATTCCGCTTATCAACAAATTATTGCAACTGACAGTCATCGTAACCAAAGAAAAAGCTTTTTAGTTACGTATTGACAAAACTTGTCGGGCGTGCTTTGACCGAATGTCTAGAAATTTGCCGAATACGTTAATTTGCTTGGTTGAAGCTAAGAGGATAAAACGAAATGATGAGAAAAGGAAAACAATGTTTGGAACTGAATGTCAATCAATTAAAAATGAACTAGTTGGACCGATGACTGATTTGATTGATCTCTTTGCTCACTGGCCCGGGAGCATTTTCGCGCGCCCACTTGACTACATCCGTTATGCAAATAGTGAGTGACAGTGACAACTTTGCAAGCGACAAGAAAGATAAGAAAACGCAAGAATAGACATCGGTGTTGAGAGAAAGAAACAAATGCTGAAGGCAATCTTTGTCGTTGAAATTCTACTTCAGATTAAGTTAACGATATATATATATATATATATATATATATATATATATATATATATATATATATATATATAAGCAAATATATGGATATAACAAACAAAAATCTTAATAGTATGAAGAAAAATATACAGAAAAAACAAAAAAATCTTAATTAACATTAGAACATATTCGTGTTGAATTTTTATATGTTCTAACGTTAATTATGTTTAAAATGAAAAGGTCTTGAAGATGGTTTTAAATATAATTAAACGTCCGAACGTTGGCTTTATATTACCATTAATACAGCATAATTGCATATTAAGATTTTTGTTTGTTTTTTTCTGTATATTTTTTCTTTCATATATATATATATATATATATATATATATATATATAAGGTGTTGCAGCAAAACCTACACTTAACAAAAAAGAAAACGAAATAGGCAATAAAAAAAAAAAGTTGTATATGCAGATACCCGACAGTTTGACAACTAACTAACGTTTTTCTCTCTACCCTTTTCCAGGATGGAATATGTGCGCAGAACAGCGGTAGTAGCTTCTTTTTGCGTCGGGAAGAAACCTGCCGAAGTGATGGCCTGATTTGGGTTCAAGAGGACCATTTGGAGGAAATGGATGACGTAAGAGAACAAGAACGAGTTTACTGCCAAACAAAAGGCCCACAACGTTCGTTCTTCCGCCGTTAGGACCGACGAGTTAGTCGCCGCCGTCAAGGAGACGGTCGACAATGATGGAAACCAGAGCTATGCCAAGATCGCCGCTGACATGGGTTGCCACAAGTCGACGATCTGCTGAACAATCAAAAAGGACATTGGTTACTCCTCCTACCGAAAGTCTCACCGCGGGCTCATTCATCAGGAATGCCTTCAAGAGTTGAGGAAGGTCAAGGCGGCGTCTTTGCTGAACAAGCTCAAGCACGAGTCCGCCGGGATGCTGAGGATCTTCTCTGATGAAAAGAATTTTATCCAGGACCAGACGAGCAACAGGGAAAACGACAGGTGAATCTGCATAGACATCGAGGATTCTTCCCGTCGTGAAGCATACAAAGTTTTCTTCCTCCTTCATGGTCCTTGGCGTCATCCCCAGCGAGCGGGACGTCATGCCTCCGTTCTTTTTTCAAAGTGGCCTGAGAGTGACCGCTGAGATCTACCAGGAGGTACTGAGGAGTGTGGTGAAGCCCTGAATGGATGAGATCGCCGCCGGAAACTCCTACGTATTCCAGCAGGATTCTGCTCCTGCACACAAGGCCAAGACGACCTAGGCGTGGCTGCTCAACAATGTTCCTCACCACTGGTCACCAGACTTGTAGCTGCTCTCCTCACCTGACTGAAACCCCATGGACTATTTCTTCTGGGACGGGATCGAGGCTAAGATCAACAAGCACGCCAACAACACGGTCGACTCTCTGAAGGCTGCCATCGTGGAAGCGTTCGCTTGCTATGGACAAGGACATGGTCGCCAAAGCGTGTGACTCATTTCGCGCCCGCCTTGAGATGGTCGTCGCCGCAGCTGGTGGTTAAATTGAAAAATAATGTAGTATGTAACTCTAACTGTAGCTAAATAAACTGCCGGGTCTCTGCCTATACAACTTTTGTTTTCTTTTGTCAAGTGTCGGATTTTTTGATGCAACAATATATATATATATATATATATATATATATATATATATATATATATATATATATATATAAAAGGTAAGATGATCTACAGATTTTTATATTCGTATACGAGAAGAATGCTAGTAAAATTAATGCCAAAGTGGAAAATTTAATTAAATTAATTTTTCTACATTGTCATTAATTTTACACACATCCTTCTTGTATACGAATATAAAAATCTATATATGATCTTCTTCCGTATATAGATAGATAGATAGATAGATAGATGAGAAAAGAAAGAAAGAAAGATAGATAGATAGATAGATAGATAGATAGATATGAACCGATTGAGATAGATAGATAATGAACAGACTGATAGATAGATAGATAGATAGATAGATAGATAGATAGATGAGAAAATAAAGATAGATAGATAGATAGATAGATAGATAGATAGAACTAAAAGGAATGACAAGAGGACACTTTTAGGCGTTTCCATTACCGAGCTAATTGTAGTAATTTTATTTAATAACCTGTATTTATATACGTTCTTTTTTTTAAATTTTTTTTTTTAGAACGCTCTGACCACCACCATCATCATCATCATCATCATCATCGTCATCATCATCCTCATCATCATCATCAGAGCCGTTTCGACTTGAAGTTACATTGCAAATCAATACGATTTCTCATCTTCAGCAACTTTGTAAATAACTCTTGCCTGTTTATCTGGCTCACACTACTCCACACTCCGAACTTTTGAACAGGAGTAGACAGTTATCCCTTGTTTTATGTTTCAGATTGGGTTCACAGTTCCAGTCTTTTTGTCCTCTTTCACTTGTGCTGGTCCCCTTGAGTCTTGGTGGCATTATCACCTTCCCACCTAATCGGTAACCCTCTATCTCGAGTGGCTCTTGAGCATTGCACAGAGTGGACCTATATATTACTTCAAACGTATAGATAAATATAAATATCTACGTTATACTATACATATATATATATATATCTTTATAGTATATATATATATATATATATATATATATATACACACTATAAAGATTATCCACACTGAGGAGCTGTGATACAGCGAAACAATCTAACTGTGGATGACTATATATATGTGCTCCCGCAAATTCGGTTGAGCTCTCTGGTGAAAGGGGCTTTTAAAAAATAGTAGCTCCTACTGCAATTAATCATTACTCTTCAAGTAAATTGAATTGAGTTCTCCGAGGAGCTGGCGTATTTCCTATAGAGAAAAACGTTAAAATTCCTTTCATTTCTGCCGTGAAACGATAGCCTAAGAAATCTGACTGATGTCAAATCAGTCGGGTTTCGATCACGGTTTGAAATAATCGGACGTCTAGCCACACTGAGGAGCTGTAATACAGCGAAACTGTCTGTTTGTGGATGA